ATGATACAATGTTATGGGAAATTCATTCCGAGACTCGCGACTCTAGCAGCGCCTTTGAATGGTCTGCGGAGAAAAAACGCACCGTGGAAGTGGGGTGCACAGGAGAAAACTGCCTTCAGGCAGATACGTGAGAAGTTAACGGCGGCGGACACTTTAGCACATTATAATCCAGATAGTCCGGTAGTATTAGCTACCGATGCTTCAGAATATGGTATTGGTGCAGTATTATACCATAGGTACGAAGATGGTACCGAAAAAGTTATTGCGTACGCATCGCGTTCTTTGACGAAACAGGAGCGCAATTACGCCCAAATAGAAAAAGAGGCGTTGGGCATAGTATACGGTGTTGAGAAATTCAATCAGTTTCTCTATGGTCGCCGTTTCACCCTCTTAACGGATCATCAGCCGTTAGTGAGGATTTTTGGTCCCAAACAGGGGCTGCCGGTAATAGCAGCAAAGAGGCTGCACAGATGGGCGTTGAGGCTCATGTTGTACTCGTTCGAAATAGAGTATAGGGAGAATAGAGGGACTGTCGAGATTACCTGATCCAAGAGAGTTGCCCAGCTCCGAAATGGTAGTAAGTGAATTGCAAGTGCAGCAAATGGCAGAAGAAGCGATGGAAAATCTCCCTGTAGTAGAAGTGGAAATAGCTGAGGCCACGAAATGAAAAGCGTAGGAAAATAAACTGCATAAGGATGACAGTGAATGAAGACGAAAACAAAAATAAATGTTATCACCGCGGTGCTTATAAAAGAAGGATGGATGAGTGTGGTCCCTCAGTTATGTTCGCCTTGCCAACCACCGCAGCGGCAGGGGGACGGGACAAGTTCCCCGTTCTTCACCCCCCCCCTGCATCATCGTACAACAGCCGGCCGGCCCTCCGATGGGAATGCCGAATTGGGCGGGGGGAGTTCCAGTGATGGCTGCAGTACCCGTGCAGCCGGGGGCTCCAACCCCAGCCCCGCCATCACGGAGCAGAAGCAGGGATCGTTCCCGAAGAGGACGAACTCGCGGCCGACCACGAAGCAAGGCCCGAAGTAGAAGTAGAAGCCGGGCTAGGGTTCCCGAGTCGCCGTCCCCTGTAAGGGGGGACGGCGGCAACGAAGACCTATAAAGATCTATAAAGATTCAATAAAGAGTTGTGTGGGTAGTGGTTACTGAAACAAGACAACACATATTGGGTTATAATGCCCGTGGTCCACTGTTGTAGAGTGGAGGGCCGCTCCCCAGGAACCTGGAGTGACCGGATGGTCACTGGGGAGGTGTAGGGGAGCGGTGTGGAATGCGAGAATGGAGAGAGTGAGGATGTTTGGATGAGAGGATGATAATGATTGGTGAATGTAAGGCTTGTTGGAGTCTAATAAATCATTCCTCTCCCAGTGTTCGTCGCATCGCAATAATGTTTTACCCGATTCAAAGATTTCAATTTTGACCTCATAGACAAGCATCGAACCTAATGCCCTATTGAATCCAACTGAAAGCTTACTGAATTACCTTATTTTCGGAGATTCATGCCGAAGATTGAGGAATCGTTAGAGGTCATGGAATTGTTTCCTTACCATTATCAAGCACCACCCTTAGTGATGTTAGGCGTTCAAAAGCTAGGGGGGACGTCCTGCAGACAGTCGCTCCCTGGGGGGGGGGGGGGGCGTCCCACGCGATTCACATTTATTAGGTTGTCCGGAAAGTTCTCAGCGTTTTGGGTGTTTCACTTTAAACGATCGTAACTTTTTTAATACTCATCGGATTTAATCGAAATAGGCACCATTCGAATCAGCACACTTTTGCCAATGTGACAGCAGTCGAGAAATCCCATCAAAGTAAAAAACTGGGTGGTCGAAAATTCACGAAATCCACGAAGGCTTTTTTGCCTGGTCCTGATTGATGAAGTATTTTCCAGCAAGGGAGTTCTGAAAATGTTAGAAAAGGTGATAGTCGGTTGGCGAAAGGTCTGAAGAATATGGCGGTTGAGGTAGAACTTCAACCCCCAATTCGTTCAATTTATGGATAGTGATTTGTGAAACGTGTGGGCGGGCGTTGTCATGCAAAGGAATCGGACCCTTTCTTTTGATAAGTGTTGGCTGCATCTGACAAAATTTTCGGCCATACCTGGTTAATTTGTTGAGCTGTTGCGGATTGCCCCAATTTATAGCCGAAGAAAAAAATCGTCCGAAGTGCTCTTTTCACATGCTTGAAAAAATCTTGAAAAAAGGGGGTTTATCAAGCAATGGTGAAACGGCAATTATACCATCAGATAGCGCAAGAAATTCTCTACAGGATGTGCTACTGAGAAGCAAGGCAGAATGAGTTTTTAATCAGCAGT